GTGGCCACTTCCATGCCGATGAAGCTCTAGCAGTCTACCTTCTCCGTCTCCTACCCACATACACCTCCTCCCCCCTCGTCCGCACCCGCGACCCATCCCTCCTCGCCACCTGCCACACCGTCGTCGACGTCGGCGGCGAATACGACCCCTCCCGCAACCGCTACGACCACCACCAACGAACATTCACAGCCACGTTCCCCCAGCATTCCACAAAGCTCTCCTCCGCCGGCCTTATCTACCTCCACTTTGGCAAAGCCATCATCGCCCAACACACCTCCCTCCCGCCGGACCACCCGGACGTAGCCACCTTGTACGAAAAGCTCTACTCAGATTTCATCGAGGCGCTGGACGCAAACGACAACGGCATCTCCGTCTACGACAACGCCGCTCTCAATGCGGCCGGGGTACGGAAGCGTTTCCGCGACAGCGGCATCAGCCTCGGCGCCCTTGTGGGTGACCTAAATCATCCAGACCCAACCGCCACGGGACCGCAGGACGAAGACGCGCTGTTCGAGAACGCTAGTAAGTTCATTGGCGACGCCTTCCTGCGCAAACTGCGCGTTGCGAGTGCTTCGTGGCTCCCTGCGCGCGCGACGGTGAGCGAGGCGTACAAGGCGCGGTTCGACACGCATGCGTCGGGGCGAATATTAGCGTTGCCCGAGGCGGGCATCCCGTGGAAAGAACATCTGTTCGTGCTGGAGGAGGAGGCGGCGGCGGCGGCGGCGGGGGTAGAAGCGGAGGTAGAAGCGGAGGCTGGCAAGATCGGTGGTGCGCATGCAGATAGGAGACAGGTGTATTACGTGCTGTATCCTGAGTCGACAGCGCCGGAGGCTAAGTGGCGGGTGCAGTGTGTACCCGTTACAGATACAAGTTTCGAGTCGAGGAGGCCGTTACCGGAGGCGTGGTGTGGGATCAGGGATGGGGATCTGGATAAATTGTTGGCGAGCGAGGAAACGAGTGTGGTGGTGCCTCCAGGTGCGGTCTTTGTGCATGCGACTGGCTTTATCGGGGGGCATGCAACGAGGGAGGGGGCGTTTGCGATGGCGGTCAGGAGTTTAGGGTAGAGTTCCCAGGCGCGAGTACATGTTTGCGCTAGGATCTTTCCTTTTGCTATTTATTGCCGATACGGAGAATCATATAGGTCTTGGGCAGCTCGTGATGGGTAAAATGGCATTTCTCAAATCTTGCCCTCGGAGTTAAACGCGGAAAGGGATGTCTGTTATGTTCGAAACTGCTGCAATAATACAAATTTTCTCTCATGGGCCGGAATAAGATATCATAGACTTTCTTAGTATTTCTCTCCCGTTGTTAAGCCCAAGACCATAGATAACCATCCCGAATGCGACCCCTTTGGAGGCGCTTTGTACAGAACGAACTAACACATCAATTCCGTTCCGCTACACAACAATGGCAGGCATACCGCCAGGTACGACAAAAAGTAGGAGCCGATATGTCCGGTGACATGTCTCGCGTCAGGCTCAAGGACCAGACACGGAACTCCGCGGTTTATGTCTTTAAATATGGCAGAGCAGTCCAGGAGATCCTCCCCTGTGCTCTTTGTACGGCTGCGGCATCCTAACCTCCGTTCTTCAGGCCTATCCCGACGTACGCATGCAGAAGCCAATTCTCGCTGGCATCGGAACCGATTTTATTTACCGAGGTGCCACCTCTGCTAACGGCTTTTCCCTTCAGACATAGAGAAAAAGGAGCAGCAATCTAGATTATAAACCCCAACTACACCTTCAATCCTTAACCTGCTGCATCCTCGCCGGCAACGTCCCGAAATCTTCAATGTTATCTCCGTCGGCAGGGCGATTTCCTTCCCGAGAATTCTTGTTGTCAACGGATGAGCCGTCGAAGGCATCCTGCTCGCCCAGTATCCTCTCAATCAATTTAACCTTCACTACGGCTTTTTTCAGCCGATTGTCAAAGTCCTCGACGGCGTCTTCCGAGTTTTCCAAGGAGAGGCTCAGCGGGTCGACGAGAGAGAGGAGGCTGGCGATGTGCTTCTCGAGGCGGGAGTTGCGGGGTAGTGGGGCCAAGGAGGGCAATTGGGAGATGCGTGCGTTTGTGATGCCGGAATCGGGGATATCTACTTCCTTATTTTCCTGACCGGAGCCCTGTGCTTCGCCGGAGAAGGAAAAGATTCTGCTGATGGTGTTTGGTGGAGGAGATGTTGCTGATGAAGTTGCTGGCGGTTGTAGGAGGAGACCATGGTTTCCCGGCAATCTTTTGGTCCAGACGATAGCTTTGCCGTATATCCTGCCTATTTCCTGGAACTTCTCGAAGCCTTTCTCCACGGCGAAGACGCTGCCCTCACTGTAGCCAGACCGTATCCCGTCTGTGGCTCCCAGCTCGTAGCCCTCTTTGTAAAACCGCTCCTCCAGGTCCAGGAGGTTGTCGAGCAGGTCATGATCCATAGTCCAAGTCGAATAGGAGGGAGCAACGGCAAGACAGCAGTTATGTGTATACGTTAGACTCGTCACCCAGGCGTCTCGAAACTGGAAGAGGCGTGGGCTTGCTGTGGCTAAACGGAAGGGCGTAGATGTAAGTGGACGTAACTTGCGGATTTGTGCAAATATTTACCCCGCCAAACCTCCCCCTTCAACAATCACAACCACCACCAAATCCATACGCCATGTCGACGGAACAAAAGATCCTCCCCAAGAAGGGCCAGAGGAATATCCTCATCACCAGTGCCCTGCCCTATGTAAATAACGTCCCTCACCTTGGCAACATTGTCGGCTCTGTCCTCAGCGCTGATGTGTTTGCAAGTTATGTGCCCCTCCCGCACCCACTTCCCGCAAGTTCTACATTACAACAAAAGGAGACTAATATCCCTGCAGATACCAGAAAGCATGCGGAAGGCCTACGTTATACATTTGCGGCACCGACGAGTACGGCACCGCAACGGAAACCAAGGCGCTGGAGGAAGGGGTGACGCCCGAGGAACTTTGCGCAAAGTACAACAAAATCCACCAGGAGGTCTACGAATGGTTTGAGATTGGTTTCGATATCTTCGGACGCACGCCAACTGCTCAGCACACGGAAATTTCCCAGGCGATCTTCAAGCGGCTGTATGACAATGGATTTCTAGAGGAAAAAACCGCCGAACAGCCATTCTGCGAGAAACATGACTCATTTCTTGCGGACCGCTACGTCGAGGGTGAATGCCCACGCTGCGGCTACGATGACGCGAGGGGGGACCAATGCGATAAATGCGGGCACTTGCTGGATCCCTTTGATCTTAAAAACCCCCGCTGCAAGCTTGATGGAGCAACGCCCGTCCGGCGGAATACCAAACATATCCATCTTTTGCTGGATAAGCTGCAGCCAGAAATTGAAGCATGGGTTCATCCCGCCATCGAAAAGGGAGATTGGCCCAAGAACAGCCGTGTTATTACCGAGTCATGGCTAAAGGAGGGTCTGAAAGATCGTGGTATCACCAGAGATCTGAAATGGGGTGTCCCTGTCCCTCTTGACGGGTACGAGAAGAAGGTCCTCTACGTCTGGTTCGAGGCGTGCATCGGATACCCTTCCATCACCGCAAACTACACCCCGGACTGGGAGCTCTGGTGGCGGGACCCGGACAATGTCCAACTTTATCAATTCCTAGGCAAGGACAACGTTCCATTCCACAGCGTCATCTTCCCGGGCACCCAGATTGGAACAAGGGACAAATGGACCAAGCTCCACCACCTCAGTACAACCGAATACTTAAACTACGAGAACGGCAAATTCAGCAAGTCCCGCGGAATCGGCGTCTTCGGCAACAACGCAAAGGAAACCGGCGTCCCCGCAGACGTATGGCGCTACTACCTGCTAAAAAACCGGCCCGAAACGGGCGACACGCAATTTGAATGGCGCTCGTTCGTCGATGCAAACAACGGCGAACTCCTCGCAAAGCTCGGCAACCTGGTCAACCGCATGGTGAAGCTGATCGCAAGCCCGAAGGCGTACAGCTCCATCGTCCCCGATTTCACCGTCACCGAGCCCTTCACACCCGTTTTGGGGGAGATCACCACCTTGCTGCGCCAGTACATCACCGAGATGGAAGGCGTGCATCTGCGCGCCGGCGTCGCGACGGCCATGCGCATCGTAGAGGTCGGCAACGGCCTCATCCAGTCCAACAAGCTCGACAACTCGCTGATAGCCAGCGAGCCAGAGCGCGCCGCCTCCGTCGTCGGCATCGTCATCAACCTCATCCACCTCATCTCCAGCATCTTCAGCCCGTACCTGCCGGCCACGTCGGCGTCGATCCTCGAACAGCTCAACGTGCCCTTCGCGAACATCCCCTCGCTCGACGAGCTCAAGGACGAAGGGTGGAAACCGGCCCTGATCAAGCCGGGCCATCAGATTGGTAAGGCGAAGTATCTGTTTTCGCAAATCGATCCGAAGAAGGCGGATGAGTGGCGGGAGATGTTTGGCGGCTCGCAGGCGGAGAGGCTGAAGAAGGAACAGGATGCCGCGAAGGCGTTGGCGAAGAAGGCGGCGACCAAGGCGAAGAAAAAGGAGAAGAAGAATAAGAGTAAGGGGGACGGCATGATGGATGGAGGTAGTGGTAATAATAATAATAATGAGGCGGTGGAGAAGCTGGCGGATGGGGTTGAGCAGACTACGATATCCAGCTCTTGAGGACTTGAGATAAATAAAAAAAAAAAACAAGATATATGTTGTTTCTTTTTTCTTTGCTGTTTTTCAGATCGTAGAGTAGGTGTTTTGTTTTATTCAGTCGATTTTGTTTTTTTGTTTTTTTCGAGTCTCTTCGGTTCAGATTCATGGAACTCTTCTTTTTGCAGCCTTTGTTTTTTCTCCCGCTAAGAACTCGTAGTTAAATATCTGATCTTTGGAGAGCAAGGGAAGAGGAGCAATATCGTTCATGAGACGATGATGATATGTAGTGCAAAAGATCTACAAATAGTTAAAACATGATAAATAAAACATGCTTTGTTTTCAATGTGAATTGTGTGGGAAATAACAAGAGGAACACACATATCTATCTATCCATCATCATCATCATCATCATAACACCGCAATGGTTCGAGACAGAGAATATAAAGAAGCAAAGAGAAGAAACACAAAATTCAACCGTGTGAAACGACAACATGATCGTAAATGACTGGAGGGTATCAATTTCAATCATTTCTCTCCGCTCTTTGCTCCCTCTCTCCCGCTCGATATTTTCATCCCTCGTAGATATACGGAAGCAGAGGAGGAGGAGGAGGAGGAGGAGGAGGAGAAAAGCCCCCAAACTCATCTTCGGTCCCATCCTAGCTTTATCATTACACAAGGGGAACGGGGAAGATTAACAAAAGAGTACCTCTTCTCGTTCCCCCTGGAAGAGCACAAAGGGCCTACTGGGAATGGAATTGTAGTCCGGTGCCCCCCAGATGTTGTTGCCCACGCCCATACTAAGGCGCTACTTATCGTCCATTAGGTATATTTTCAAAAGGGTTTGATTGTAATTTTTTTTTTTTTTTTTAATATTTTAATATTTTTTTATTAGTTATTTATTTATTTATTTATTTTCCCCTTTTTTGAAAATGTAGAACTAAAACTATCATCATCTCGTCCGTCTTGCGCCGGGCCGGGGTCTCACCTCCTCCTGAACGATGGGGTGCATCATAACCTTATTCGGCGTCTGCGGCGTGTTATTGGTATAGCCTTTGCTCCAATCATAACTCACCGCATACGCGAAGATATTGCCCGTTTTTGTTAAAGGCGGAGCTCGAAATCGTGCCCCCGACACTCGGATAGCCCTTCAGGCGATGCTTGGCATCCTTATCCCAGAAGTGAAACGTGCCATCACTGCCCGCCGTGCTGAAGGTGCCGTGCACGGGGTGGAAGGCAATCGAGTTGACCGCATACACGTTGCTGACGTCGCGGGTGTTGGGCGGGTTTTCGCGGTGGCACTTGAAGCTGAAGTTGGAGCTGGCGTCCTTGTCCTCGACGTACTGGATGGCGCAGCGGCCCTCGATGGAGCCGACGGCGAAGCCCGTGGCGTCCGTGAAGCAGCTGACGACGCGCGTCTGGTATTTCAGCGGCGACTGCATGGTCTTGTAGAACTTGGTGGGCTGGTCGAGGTTGACGATGTTGATGTAGCGGTCCGCGGTGCCGATGACGAGGAGCTTGTTCTTCACGTCCATGGTGTACACGCGCTCCTGGCACTCGAGCGTGCCGATCGGCGTGGCCTGCCGCAGGTCCCAGAACTTCACGGTCTTGTCCCATGAGCCTGTTACCAGGAGGGATTGGGCGGTGTTGCCTGGGTTTTGTATCATTGCGCAGCATCTTATGGGGGCGTCGTGGGCGGCGACTTGGACGGGGGTGGTGGCATTTGCTTGAAGGTCGAGCATGCGGGCAGCTTTGTCGACGCCGGCGCCAACGACCTTGGTGCCGTCCTAGACGATAAAATGTTCAGAGGTCTGCCTAAATATATAGAGATATATGTGTGTAAAGAGGTGGGGGGATGGGGGGAAAGAAGGAAAGGAAAGTGGTTCTCTACTTACAGGAGCCCAGCAGCAGCTCAAGACGGGTGCCTCATGTTCAAAAAGCGCCTTTCCTTCACTCTGACCTTGCTCGTTGATTTCGTATATGCGCACTTTTTTGTCCCAAGACGCCACGGCAAGATGATCGCTCACTGACGAGAAGGCAAGATGCGAGATGCTATCTTCGGGGGGGGAGGTGAGGGCGACATCTTTCGAGAGATCGCCAGCTGTGTTGGAAGCGGCCGTGTTGGTTGTTGTAGAGCCGAAAAGAGCCATGGTGTGCAGAAACTTCTGGCAGTTCCGGCGCCAGGTCTGCAGGTTCTGTTAAGGCTACCTCAGCGGGTTGAAGGTAGGTAGCTCTCCTGAAAGGGTATCAAAGAACGGGGTTTGTCGAGGAAGATGGAAATGAGTGTTTCATTTCCTAGACAGCTTTTTTTGAGGTGAGGTCAAGCTCCGAAGATGCGCGACGCTGCAAACAGGACAAACATGTCTCCCAGCTTCAAGTTGAACTCTTACAACCAAAAATCCCCTTGACGAGGAGTTCTTTTCCCCTCATCAATATAAATGGGATTCTCACTGCCTACCAATCTAGTTGCCATTCATCCATTGACCGTCGATGTATACCTTGATACACGCAGGGATAAGAAGAGGGTGTGTACAGTACATTACATCCACGGTAGGGTAACTGGCCCTGGCATTGCTTAGCGATTTCGCAACGTTCCGTTAGTAGGTTACCAGCAGAATTGACATTTCCCAAGTTGGGGAAGGGGGTAATATCCCTGCAAACTCACATATACACACAAAGATGCAGATATATATAGAGAGAGAGAGAGAGAGAGAGAGAGCAAGCGCCCAGCCCATCCACTTCGCAAAACAAGAGCAATATTAAAATAAAATAAAAAGATCTCCGCCCGGGATCTTGTTATCCACTCTTTCTACCCCATTAAGTTCTGTCCCCTCCGTCTGGGTCACTAGTAACGATTACCCATGACCATCACCGTGAATGTACACAACAGAGCGTTCTGTTTCAATTTTGAATACTAGCATGAAATGCTC